GATCTTCAGCCTGTATTTCTCTAACAAAAATGCAGTCCTGTCCAGTAGCCTGATCCCTGGACTCTGTTATGAAAGAAGTAACAGTTCTCACCCCAAAAACACATGCCGGGGGAAGCAGGGAAGGATCGTCTCAGTCTGCCGGCATCTTTCAGGCAAGAGGCCAAGTCAGAACTAAGGAAAGAGTGTATGATTGTGTATAGAACTGCCTCCCATGTCATCATCATATATTTCCTTGGACGGCCTCTGGACTGTCAAATGAAGAACTCTGCGTTTCAGCTCCCCCCAGTAAGCAAGGGCTGGCTTTAAGCCCATTAGGAAGGCGGAGAATGCTACAGTCTTCTCTGTTTCTCTAGGGTCACAGTGTAATTGTGTGGTGGGAGGAATGGGCCCTGGAGATGGCGTAACAGTCACTTCTCATTACCTCCCACTTGGTTCATTACGTCCGTAGACAGCGATTGCCCACGTGTGGATACTTCCATTACACAGAAAGAGGTAATGTGCTGTAGACCTCGAATGGCTTTCAAACGGGGAGAAAGCCGTTTATTCCAGGCACAAGCCTATCTTGTTTCCAGGGGCCAGGCCAAAGGAACGGAAAGCGGCATAAGGAATAGATGAGTGATGATCAATGCACAGGAACCAGGCCCCACACATACTTAAACCCAGTGAGATGTTTACATGTGTGCACGCCACTAGTACACAACCCATCACACAAAGGACAGCACCCTTACTTACTAACCTACCAAATTTGACCTTAACAAGCAGATCCGCTCACTCAGGAGTATGTATGTAGGCTATTCTGTGTGGCCTCCCTGAACTGCAATCATCCTTTCCTCCCTCTCACTCACGCACGCGCCCACACACACACACACACACACTCACACGCAAATACAAAAGACCTCTTCCAGTTGCATGGGTGAGTCCTGAGAACCATGAAATCCAGATATACTATCACATGTTTTTTTCTCAAGGGATTAAAAAGCCCCAGTTACATTATGAACTAAGGGGACTTAACCAGAAAGAAAATAGAATTATAGAGAATTACAGACTGTTAGAACCAAAAATGAATTTTAGATATTATCCCAAACAGAAATGCTCAGACTTTTTATTTAAAGAAAAACCTCCCCCTAAGAGTCAATAAGAGGTACTTAACAAGAAACGCCCATGATGGAGTAAAACTGTATATTACATACCATATCCTAGTATTGGCATTTTTCAGTGATGTCAGCTTATTAAATATTCTGAGAATTCCCGTCCATTTAATTTAGTGTTACCCTAATTTATTAATTCAAGGAATGCTTTTTTTTAACTAAAATCTTTTCAACATCCTGTAGAACAATTACACCACAGTGGAAGAAATCACATTATACTATAGTTCCATCGTTTTCCATGAATTTCTGTGTATTTGCAATTTTCAAATTTTAGCACTCATTCGAATCACCTGGGGATCTGATCCATAGTGACTTTTCAGTACCCAGATAAGGCTCAGGAACCTGAATAGATACCAAGCAACTGTCATACAGAGGGCCTCATACCACACTTTGAGAAATATCAGTCATACGCGTGCTTTCTGCCTGAATTTACCAGGGATTGAACTACACATTGTTAACAAAAAAGGGTTAAGAGTTATTAGGTTAGATGTCTGTAGCTTTGACTCTGAAAGTTGCAAAAGATTTCTGAATGTGAAAATGAATGTTTGTTTCTCTAAATTCATCACAATTGATGGTCCAGTCACCTCTACACTTGGCTGTAATGCTCTGTCATTTTCACTCTTCTTCAACTCCTTGCCCACTCATTTGCTTCACTATTCCATTCTATTCATTTATTCATTCAACACTTTTTTTACACAGCATCCTGTGTGCTGGGGTGCTGGATGACACACTAGGGATATCAGTGAACAAAAGAGACAAAAATCCTCACCCTTGTTGGCAGACCTGGACATCCTAGCAAGAGGAAGACCGATAATAAAACAAGCTAACAGATAGTAAATGACATAGTCAATAAAAGTTAACAGCTGAGCAGGGTTATGAAAGAAACAGAACAGACTAGGGAAGATCAAGGGTATGTGCGGTCAGGGGCCGGGGAAAGGGCTGCAAGTTTTTAAAAGGGCAGTGGGAATGACTTTATGAAAAGTTGACATTTGGGAAAAATCTTGAAATAAAAGAGGTGGCCTTTTACATACGTAGAATGAGAGTCCAAGCCTCAAGAAGAACCAGTGCAAAGTGAGCTGTCCCCTGTCAGAGAAGGTGTAAAGGAGGGAGTCTGGAGGAGGCAGCAAAGAAGGGGGAGCGGGTAACACAGCCAGAGAGGCAGCCAAGACCAGACTGTCCAGGTCAGGGCTTTGGCTTTCACTCGGAGGAAAATGAGAAGCCATTGCATAATGCATTTTGAGCACAGAAATGAGATTATCTGACTTCTGTTTGTAAAGATTCTGAATTTGACAAAATGCATTCACCACTGATTGGGTTTCTACTGACATGCCAGGCACTTGAGCTGGGACCCAGCATGTAAAAATGAACAGACAGTGCTCAGAATACTCGGAGTCTCTGGGCTTCTGATACAGCTTGCTGTAGGTCGTTTTGTATGTACTTGAAAGCCATGCTCCTTGCCCCTTGCTTAACCAGGTCCCTGCCCAGCTGTTACTTAGTGACCCCAGCACCCGTGTGCTCCCCTGCTGTGGGGCTGGAATGGGGAGACCTTGGTCAGAACAGTCTGAGGTTCTGGTGTCCAGTTCAGCCCTGAACATACTGTGTGGCCTCTGGCATTACATGAATCCCTTTTTTCCTGGCTTTTCCATCTGTTTATACAATTTTCTCAGAAGTATATTTGTGAGGCCTGATGGGATAACCGGCTCTGAGAGCTTTTGGGTGTAATGAAAAACTGACAATTTTAATTTTCCCTCAAATTATCATACTCTAAAATAAATAGAGAGTCGAGTAGATTCTCCAGCTATTCATCCTGGCAGCTCTGCCTCAGCTGAAGACAGTCTACAAGTTGGCAGACCAGAGCGAAGAGAAATTCATCTTAGTTCCTGGAGAAAAAAAACCTGCTAGTTTCAACAACTGAAATTCTGAGAGAGGGTTTTCTGGAGAGGAGCCATTTGCAGCAACAATGTATTTGAGAATATTAACTTATTCATCTCTTGCTGACTTTTCTGTTGAGGAAGGATGCAAAAGGTGGTTGCATTGAATTTCAGCCTCAAATGTGATTCTAGATGATCAGACCTGGCTTGCTCACCTCACTTGTCCATGATCAGAAGATACTTCAGAGACAAAACCTCCATTCTGAGCAAATGGAGAACAAAATGACAAATTTCAAGGACACTGGTGCAACAAACCAGAAAAATGATGATCACAGCTATGTTTGCCTTCAGGATGCATATGCAGCCTTCATGAACAGCAACGCCATTTTTTTTTTTTTTATCAAATGTTTATGATGCAATGTCACCCAAATCAGGGAAATTCAGGGATTTGGCAGGCGGGAAAAGAGAAATGCAATACAATGCCACTTCAGACTGCAGTCGTCGTTGGAGCTAGGCTGCTCCAGACGTTTTCCTTTTGTCCTCATTTAATGGTTCCTCTAAATACAATGTCTCAGTATCAGCCAAGGCAGCAAAATTTACAACATACTAATTAATAGCAAGATGCTTAGGTCAGCAATTCTGTCTCTGAGTATGTAATTATGTGTTTGGAGCCTTGTTTTTTTTTCTCTTGCCTTCCTCTGTCAGATTTTACTAGTGGAGTCAGGGAGTATTAAGAACACATAAAATTTTAGGTGGCTGGAGCATGATTAATTTTACTTAAACAGTGAGGGATAAGCTATGCCACTTACCTTCCACCACATGATTATACGTTCTATCCGTTGTCAGCTCAAAACAAATCATACCGGGATTGAGGATTACAACTCACAAAGAGTAACTACAGTTGTAAACACGCTTCTTACCATTCTTGACTGACTTATTTTTGTGAAAGTAAAAGTAGTCCTTTTTTCCTAACCAGAGAGTCTTGAACTTCAGATTATCAGCAAAACATGTTGCTGCACCTGCTCTGCCAATCCCCAGCCCTGGGTCACTTCTACCACTAACTTTCTCCACTCCTGCTTCCAGGCAGCTGGGCATGGAAAGCAAAATCCCATAATTCTGTTTACTGGCACAGCAACAAATCTATGATCCTCAGCAGTGGCCGGGCCCCCAGTGCTACTGGCAGTCCTTGTATTTGTCCCTAGTCAGCTCCGTTTCAGATTTCCCTACAGCTGTTCTAACCTTTCAACATGCTCAGAGATCCCCTCATTCTAAGTCGGTGCCATTGTCCATGCATCAAAAACAAAACAGAAGCCCTCTCTTTCCCCTCTGCCTGCAGCAAGCCTGACATCCACAGGGGTGCCCATCTTTTCCCTCCCTTCCTCCTAAATCAGAGAAGAGTCATCTTTCCTCATCCTCCAAGTTAGCACTTCTGTAGGATATTGGACACATCTCCTCAGCCATCTTGAGAGAACCTGGTGACGTCAGTCATTTCCCCTCAAACGTGTGTCTGTAATCCATCATTCGTGTTCTCTGGCTTCTGCCCTTCGGTCTACAAATTTGCTCAACTTCTTTTCCTTACCACCATGCACATGCTTGCATGCATACAAACTCACACCCACAATTCTTTAATCATTTCAGCCTCTCACTCATGCTGCAAATTGCCTTGTCTGGCAATTAGTTGTTTACATGACAGTTTTCAACTGGTCCAGCAATTTTTAATTGTTATTGTGTCAGATCCCTTCAAGAATCTGATTAAAGCAATGGGTCTCTTCCCTGGCGACATGCACAACACTACACACACAGAAACTTCTACATAAAATTCCAGCTTGTTCAGGGGCCTCTCGGAGGAGATAGTTCTACACTCATCAGGACTCCCAGTTCCTCTCCTCTTCTGGGGACGCTGGAGAATTACACTTCTGCTGATTTGAGATTAGTGTCTTTGACCAATGAAATGAGAGTGGAAGTGATGTGTGTACCTATACTCGATGTGCAATGCTTTCTCTTCTGACTCTGTCGCTGGAAGTGCTGCGTTCCAGGTAGTGACTGCTCCATCAGCGTGGGTCTTGGAGTGAGGAGGAGGCAGACCAGCGTGCTGGCCAACCTGCAACGGGCAGACTGAGTGAGTGAGAAATCCATCTGGTTAATTAGAGCGGGTGACAGAGGGGATGCTTAGTTACTGTAGCATAACCTAGGCTCTCCTGCTTGATCTCGGGGAATTCTCCATTAGATACAAGATCATCTAAGTCAGACAGATCCTTTCTAGGGGACTTTCAGCTACCCTCCTTCCTGCGTAGTTCTAGGCTTTCAGTTCTCCCCCCCAGAAGGCTCTTTCCCCAGTTCTTCCTATGACTTTTCATCCTTCAGACCACAGTGTATATGTTACCTTCTGAGAGAGATTCTTCTTGGCCCTTCTTCTCCCCTCTGCCCCATTACTCTCTCCACATTACCTATTTCTGTCTTTCACAGAGTGTATCACAGCCCATAATGATTTATTTCCTGTTTCTCAAGTTCTGAATTCACAGTATTTGTATTCTTGCTATTAACAGCAATTCATAAATAACTGACATCATACTTCAACGCCATGTGAACTTAAGGAAGTACCTTCCAAAAAATGGACTGCTTTCATTTCCTTAATATGATAAAAATGGAACCATGAATGGTCTATAAAAGTCACTCATGTTTTTCTAAACTCTGTTAACAGAGGAAGAAAACTAACTAAAAGCGTCAGACGGACATCCAAATGCTTGGATGTGTACCCAGAACAAACCTCTAACCCTTGGTATTCACCCAGTCACGAGAGAGAGGTCAGCTGACATTTTGGGGTTTTTTTTTTCAGATAGTTATGGGTCAACAGCACTGACAACCTTTGACCCCAACCCAGTTAAATAGTAGTTTTTGTTATTCATTGACATACTTTTTGTTTTGTTTTTCTTTTGCTGTGTATATGCAACAAATGGTCTTATTTCAGAGAGACATTAAGAATTAGTACTGAAATGCCAGAAAATGTTAAGCAGCTAACCGTTTGTTATACATCCAGGAATATAAGTATAACTTGTCACAAAATAAATAATTCATACTTGTTCAATGGATGAATGTATTAATTAATATTAGAAAATCAAATATTTCACTTTTACTGTATATAACTGATACTACAAAAGACAACTATTCTAATTTTTAAAACCAAAGTTTTAGCCTTACTGTTTCATCTCCACACAAAACATGTTTATTGTTCAAATATTTTAGGAATGTATAGCTTAAAATGTGAAACTTTCTGTTTTCACTGGTTTTACAGTTGTATTAAACAGTCCTGACACCTGACAAGAGATTCAGAAGCCGTGATGCCAGCAAATAATACAGCAGACTTTGAAAACATTCTCTAAAATTTAGACCTCTTCAGATACTCAATTTCATAAGTACAAAAGTTTTGGGAACATCTGAATTAATTGTTAGACCAGCATACATTTTAGTCTTGATGAGAACCAAGAAAAATGTTTTAATATTGCTAAAGAAATAAGCTTGGTTTGGAAACAAAAATAAGCTTGATTTAGTTTTCTCATAAACTCTTTCAGGTTTGTTTCGGGAAGGAGGGGGTTCTTTAGACATGTGCAATTTAAAAATAATATTGATTTTTCAAGATGGGACTGCATATTTCTTTTTCCTTTTTAAATTGTTTCCTCTCAATTAACACATTTTAAAATGAGATTATCATCTGCCACTCTGTTTTAAGAGCATGTGGGTAATTGATGAGACTTAATGCCTTTAAAATGGGACACGCATCAACCATGTAGGTGCACACATTTGTACATATATAAAGACATATATTATCTTTCATATAAGACAGGCCATTTCTCCATTCCTCATCATTACAACACAGCCTTCAGAAAAAGCATAAATACTTCTATTCTACTAGGGCATTTCAACCAAACACCTAAGTTGCACAGAAATAGTTGCTATATAAATTCAAAGGGGATAAATAATACTCAATTATGCTATCAAAAACTGCAACTGAAGTAAGGCAGTATCAGGGTTTATGTTTAAGAATGCTGACTGTATTTATTCTTGTCATTATGTATATTCCAAACTGAATGTGCTGAGTCCCAAATTGGAAGGTTCTTTACTGCTAAAAATAGTACATCTTAATGAAAATATTTTAGCTGGCATTCCAGATTAGGAAATCAGTGCATGCCAAGAAAGTTTCCTTTGTACAAAATAGTAAAATTTAATGAATAATGGATTCAAGTGATGCCAATTACTTGCCTTCATTTCACACAAATTTCTTTATGAAATGAAAGAAAGTGAGATTTACCTACACAAGATCTGCAGACACCTTGGCTCTCAAGAATAAATGATTCTTCAGGTTTCTACATGTCTTTCATTTATTTTGCTAAGGAGCTTGTTTTGAATAGTGCTCTATGACAGCATTTAGGGGTTTCCATTAAGTTTATTAAAGAAAAAAATTATATTAACTATCTCCCAAAAAACATTTGGCTCCATTTTTGGCTTGTTAAGAAATTATACTTTAAACACAAAATTACTAACAAGGCATCTGGTAAATGTGAAGGTGGCTGTTAAACTCTTGTAGCCTTTGATCTTGCTAATTAAGTTTTATAAAGACTTTAGAGACAGAACAGTTTGTCAGTCAACTTACTCAGATATTATAGCTTTAAGAAGAAGTTATTTTAGCATATTGGTACACCCTGTGTTCTAAAACAACAACAACAACAAAAGCCTATTTTTAAAAATATGACACTGATGTACCCATATTATACAACTTAACTCCAGTTGACAGTGTAATCAACTGAAGAGAAATAAGAGGGGAAGGGAGGGAAGAAACCCTCTCTTGGGAACTATAAGAATTAGTAACCTCCCTACACATTTCTATCCGAAAATACATATTGATCCTTATGATTTCTAGAAACCTTCTATTTTATCATGCCTTAAAAATTATATCTGAATCAGCACCTTAATGAGGTACCCTTTTCTGGTTCAGTCTAGAAGAGTGAAGGAGTGTGGGTTATGGTACCAGATAGGCAAAAGAACAAAGCCAAGCTCCAACATTTATGTGGACTTTGGTCATGATCTAACATCTTCAGTCTGCATTTTCATCCATAAAATCATGAGACACTTATCCTAGAATGGTATAAATTTTGTATCAATGCTCCTTTGAAATTATCTTCATGAAGTTCACCAATACACTTAGTTTTAAAAGTTAATATTTAGATCTTATCATATTTAATATCTTTGTAATATTTGACTCTTCACTATTTCATCACTCTTCCCAGAAACCAAATGAGAAAACAGTTTGATCTACCCTTTTCTGCCATTTTCTCCCTTCCTTATTGTTCATTATCACTCTCATTTGACAGACTATTCTCTCTATATTGTTAATTAAATGACCTCTGTGCTCTTCTCCCACTGAACTATCTTTCCAACAAATTCTATCCACCATTACTCTTCCCCTGTGCCTCATTTTCAGGCCTCTGTCCCAAGTTTTGTGCCCAGATTGCCTCTGCCTGTCAGACAACTTCACTGGATTGTCCTATGAGTACCGTCCAAACTTCCACCCACTTCAACCCAAGATAAGAAGCTAGACCTCTCTTTCCCCTTTATTCTGCTCCCACAGTCCCCTGGTCTACAACATTGATTCTACCATTAAACTATGCTATTGCTTCTAATTCTTTCTGTCACTACTATAATAATCAATGCCACAAGTTTAGACTAATAGAATGGCCTCTGCATTATTCACAGTAGTCTAAATATTGCAACAAAGAATATTTGTTACAAGTACTATAACAAAAGTCTCAGTGGTTTGGCACAGTAAAGACTTTTTTCTTGCTCATTTTACAATCCAGTGCAAATGGTTGGACAGGATCTGGTCCATTTAGGTGACTAGGTTTCTTCCATCTAGTGGCCACACCACCTCCTAGTGGAATCCCCCACCAGACCCCCCTGTAATTGGCAAATAACTGAGAGAAGAAAAGGTAGAATTCAGTTATGGGATTAGCCTAAATACAGCGGTGGAGCACAGATGTAATAAATACAATTAAAACTCCCATTTCAAAATGAGTAGGTAATACTGGGAGATGCACAGTGTTCATTAGCACATGACAATTCTGAAACCCCACTTGGCAGCCCTTATGAAGTCCCCTGCCATGGAGAGAAGATGAGTTACTTGGTTAAACTTTAATTATGCTCTCTGAAAATAATTTCCTCAATGGTCCTTAGCTTTCAGGAGTTCTTATTGTCTATTTCCTCCCTTTGGACACAACTGAAATGAAAATGTTCTCAAAAGTTTGAAAGCCAAAAGGTGATTTTACAGCTCAAAGAGTTTTTAGTCTGATATTCAGCACCTCCTGACAATACAAGTTCTTCAAAATCTTGATAGGTTTCTGTTGTATTTGCTTCCGTCTATACTCCTCAGGTTTAATTCTCCTCTCTCCCCTCTCTCTCCTTAACTGCAGCTGTTTTGATTACTTCTTCCTGCAAGGGCACACCCTTATTCTACGCTCTTCCATGGAAGTAAGCCATGTTGTCCAACTAAGCAGCTCTGCTGGCCTTTTGTGGCTTCGTTTGGGATCTGGAAGCAAGCGACTTTCCAACCATTTTTCACGGCAAGTCTTTGGACTCCATCATTTTCTGTTCAGCTTGATAACCAGCCAGTTCTTTCTGGGTTCATGCCTTTTATGAAACACCTTACCGAAGGCAGCCAATAATAGCTATCATACACTAACACAGACTATTTCTTTAAAGCACATCCCTTAAAGCAGAGGTTTCAAAGTGTGCTCTGCCCAACCCTAAGAATGCCAGAGACCCCTTTTAGCAGGTCCACTACATCAAAAATACTTCCATAATATAGGAAGTTATTTTCTTTTTTTTACTGTGTTGACATTCCCACTGATACTACCAAAGCAACCACATGTAAAGCTGTTGATATCTAACACAAATCAAAACAATGTCATCAAGCTGTATCATTGTATCATTGATTGAACATTGTATCTTATCTTTTCCTATGTACTCAGTTGATTTTTTAAAAGCCAGTTTCACTTAAAAATGCACTTGGAACAGTAAAAATTATTCACCTTATTAAATCTCAATCCTGGAGAACAAGTCCTAAATATTCTGTGAGACCAGAAGGAAAGAACACACACACACACACACACACACACACACACACACACACACACACACACCCGACTTCTGCTGCATACCTGAATTCATTGGTTGTCTTGAGGAAAAGCAGTGTGCGATTGTTGGAGTTGCAAACTGAACCGTCTCTTTTCTGTGGAACACTATTTTCACTTGAGAGAACAAGTGATAAACAAAATATGGTTATTCAGACTTGGGTATTTGACAGTCATTTTCTTGAAAATAAATGAAGTGAGCCTGTCACTTGAAGGCGAACAATCTGACAGTATTTGTTGACAATGATAAAACTTCAGCTTTCAAGTGAAAATTAGAATTTTGGAAAACTCGTACCATCACCATGAGCTTGACAACTTCTGAATTCTTAAAGACTTTTCTGAAGAGACCAGTAAGTGATATTAGCAAATGTGATTTTTTAAAATACTATATAATGAAGTATACCAGTGGTATAATTCAAGGAAACAATATTTTCTAAGTGACTATGTAAGATACCTTTAAACCATACGTAGGTAAATGATTCCTTTAAAGTGCAATCAAACCAACCAATTTTAATGTTATAAGCATGTGAAAAGATATTCCTTTAAAACAAGGAGGCTGGTCTTCTAACAAGAAATATGCGTGTATCTCTGTAAGGTCAGATTTTCTTTATATACTTCAGTTAAAATGACATATCACAACAGAGTGAAGAAACAAATGACAATTTAGCTGCTGTCTTCTGTTAAGCTAAACAGTACAGAGTTTTGTGAAAAAGAAAATGCCATTCTTTTTTACAAATATTTTGGAAGCACAGTTATCATAAAAATATTGCTTATGTTAACATAATGGGTTTATGACTATTTTTGATTCATTAATGTTTTTTAACTTCAGTTTTAACATGGTAATTCTTGCTAGATATAACCCACAAGCAAAAGTTTTGGGGATCCTCAATAGTTTCTCAAAGGGTGAAGAAGCACTGACAAGAAAACATCTGGGAATCTTGGTCCTAGAGAAGGGATCATACAGCCCACAGGTCAAATCCAGCTACTTGCCTGTGTTATGTAAATAAAGTTTTATTGGCACACAGCCATACCCAGGTACTTCTATATTATCATGGCTGCTTTTATGCTATAATGGCAGAGTTGAATATTTATAAGAGAGATGATATTGCTCCCCAAATCCCAAAACATTTACTGGTTTGCCTTCATGGAAAAAGTGTGCTGACCTCTGTTCCAGAGCTTTGGTTCTCAAGCCTGGATGCACATTAGAATCACCTGGAAAACAGTTAACATAATACTAGTATCCCTTTCCCTCCCCCAACATATACACACTGAGCAATTAAATCCGAATCTCTGGGAACAGGTCCAACCATGGACAGTTTTATTAAATCCTCCAAGGCAAGGGTAAGAATCACTATCCTAAAGTTTTAAGATTTTTAGGCATAAATCTTGCCTTTCAAGTTATTCCAAACATCAGATCATCCAAGATGTTTCCCCTTCAGAACATGAGTTACTGTATTTCAAGCCCCTCTCTGACCAAGCACTGAGTCAGTGCCACATTTGTTGCTGTCACAGAAGCACCCCACCATTACAAATTTGCAGTGGTACAAATTTCAGTATTAGTCGGACAGGCTACCTTAGCAAACACTTCTCACTTTCAGAGGCTAACATAACAAAGGTGTTCTTTATCATACGAATCATGGTGCACGGTGTTTGGTGGGGGTCTCTGCTCTACAAAGGAACCCATCTGCTTCTAGCTAGACACTCTACCACCCCTCCAGGCTTCAGAGAGCAGACTGGATCCCTCCTCATCCAGCCAACAGATGAGAGAAAATAAACAGCATGGAGGATTGAGTAGGAGGTGTTTAATGAGTCAGGCCTGAAGGAGGTCGACATAGCCCCATTGGTCAGAACTTAATCATTTGTAAGTGCAAAACAAGGTGCCAAATCTAGCCTACCTTTCTGCCAAAGAGGAAAAGTAAAATAGTTCAGTGAATTATCTTTATCCCCATCACAGCCTTCCTCCTAACTGGTCTCCTATAGCAAGTCCTGCACTGTGAACCAGCTGAATGCCCCTTGTCAGAGGCGGAATAACAGCCTCCCAGATGTGTCCACGTCTTGTTCCCCAGAACCTGTGAATGTGTTACGTCACACAGCAACAGGGACTTTTGCGGATGTGATTGAGGTTAAGGATCTTGACATGGGAACGTCTCTTGGATTATCCAAAGTGGGCTCAATATAATCACATGGACTCTTAAAAATGGGTCTGTTAAAAAAGGTTTCTGAATGAAACCTTTCTGAATGAAAGTCAGAGAGATAGGAAAATGGAGGAAGGGTCCAAGAGAGGCAATGTGTTTGAAGGAAGGGGGCCATGAGCCAAGAATGCAGGCAGCTCCTAGAAGCTGAAAGAGCAAGGAAATGGATTCTCCTCCAGAAAGGAACACAGCCCTGCCAAACACTTGATACTAGCCAAGTGAGACAGGTGTCAAACTTCTGACCCAAAGAACTGTGAAACAACATGTTCGTGTAGATTTAAGCCACTAAGTTTGCAGTAATACGTTACAGTAGTAATAGAAGATAAATGCACACTTCACTTCTATGTTCTTACTGCTATCAGTGATGGCCCCAATGTTTAAATCTTAATTGGTTGCTCCTTTTCTTTGAATTCTTTATTGGCTCCTCATTCATTGGCTTAATACACACTGAACAACTACAATGTGTCAGGCACCCTCCCCCTCACCAAGACTGCTGCCCTGAATAAGACAGACACGCTTCCTGCTTCGATGCTTAGCGGTGCAGGGACTACAGTCTAAACTCTTTCATGTCATTCAATATCTGCACAGTCTAATGCTCAACAGCCTACATACCATCTCTTGACATTTCTCTCTGCCAGAAAGAGGAAAAAAAAAAAGGCTTTGAAAAAAAAATGTTAGTTGCCCAGTCATGTCCAACTCTTTGCAACCCCATGGACCATAGCCCGCCAGGCTCCTCCATCCAGGGGATTTTGCAAGCAAGAATACTGGAGTGGGTTACCATTTCCTTCTCCAGGGGATCTGCCCAACCTAGGGATCAGACCCAGGTCTCTCACATTGTAGGCAGATTCTTTTCAGTCTGAGCCACCAGGAAAGCTCATCTCTTGACATTTCTCTCTGCCAGAAAAAGAAAAAAAAAAAAGGCCTCAGGAGTCCTGATAAAATGTCATCAGATTTCTAAGATGCCATGGCTTGTTTTAAGAACATCACTAGCCACAGTAGAAAACTGTTCTGCCCTCCCTATTCTTTGTACATCTGGAAAACTCCCAATTCTCCCCTAAAAGTGATCTCAAATATTATTCCAGAAAATAAGGTCACTCCCAGGCTCCCTCCTCTTTGAGTATATATATCCAAACTAGTAGTTGTTACAATGAATTGCAACTGTCCCTTCACTGCCCTAATTATGGCTTTCAACAAATTCAAAGAGAAGTTCCTAGTAAACTTGCTTTTAAATAAATGCTGAGAATTCTCTTTCATGCATTCATTCACTCATTCTCTCAAAATAAATTCATCAAAACACATACTTCACCAGAATTTGAATTAAGTTTTCTGCAGGAAAATTGACAACACAATAAAAATCTCAAAATAAGTAAAACAGACCAGCCTCTAAACTCGGTTTGCAATGTCTTTTCCAGCATAGATCTCTTATTCTTTTCAAAGAGCGTACTTCTTGGAGTAACAAAATGGAGAGCAACTCTGAGAAGCCTGCATAATGACAATCGTACTGAATATGGCGACCACAAAACTAGGATTCTGCATGTGCCTCTGTTATAAATTTCTGCAATTTACTAAACATACATGAAGGTGTACAGTACCCATAAACTTCAACATATACCTATAATACATAACATGCAGTGTATTAAATTATATGAATAATTTTATTTGGATGGATTTATTTCATCTGCCTATAAGAACTAGAGGGAAAAAAATCAGTCTTTTTATAAGCATTTCAAATGTTTATAAAATACATGTTAAATATACATTGTGAAACTATTTTGTTGTAATTTGTTACATTTTTCTTGAAAAAGAGAGCCACTAGTCTGTTTCACGCACTGACACATTTTCCTGGTATAGTCGAGCACTTCATGCAAGATTCATATTCTAGTTAACTAAACAGACAAGAATTTTTCTTATCAATTATTAAATTTCCCTGCATCTGGATATTTTATGTTCACAACAGTGAACATTAACATATTTAACTTGGTAATATATCTGTAATATATAAATGGTGATTTGCTAAATAATTTACTAGTTATAGAGATTATTTTGATAAATTATTACTGTCACTATTATGGAACCATCATGAAAAGGCACATTTTAATACATTTTCAAACAATTCTTGAACAAGTATTTTGTACCTACTATGTGCAGGGTGCAGAGATCAATCAGAAATATGTGTAGAATAATTATCAGTTGTTGGCTAGAGTAAAATTTATTCCAACTACAGGAACATAATTTTCAAGAGACAAATTGTAGCTGTCAGCACATGAACTTTTCCTGAACATTTCCACTTTTACTAAGAACTCTCACCTAGCATCCAGCACACATTGGATTCCTACTAGCACGCTGGTTTAGTTTTCCTGCACACAGAATATTAACAGTCATAAACTCTTTCCTATTCCCACCTCCCAATACATTAGCAGTTTTCCAGTGGGCATTGATTCTGTGTGATGAAGTCTAATGTGATAACCACAGTGGTAGAGTAACCAGGGAATTATCCCCCTAGGAGGACAGGAGTTTTTTCTACCTCTAAGTCAATGATCATTAAAACCAACCAACACATTGTTAAGTTTAACAAATCACAAAGGCCCATAGGGACCTGCAAATTGCAATAGTGAAGTCACAACTATCCAGCAATTAGGTTTACATTTCTATTCACCCTTTCAATAATCAAGTCTACAAATGCCCCACTTCTTCCTGCTGAACTTGATCTGGAAGGTTTCTAAAGCTTTCATTTTTATGAAGGTTTCTCAAACCAAGAAAACAACTGCATTTGAATGAAGTAATAATGACAAACCTTATGAAGCAGAAAGAACAATAATTTATTCACCTAACATAAAAGCCTAATTTTTGAAAAGTGGTGGTGGGGGGGTGCGGATTGCCAAGCTCTATTTCCAAATAGAATGTGCTCTGAGCCATTATAAACATTTGGCTACTAGAAGAGTGTCTAGCTCAGTAAATAACGAACATGAATACCTAAAGTTTTAGGAATGCTTTCAGCTACAGGTAACAAACAGTCTAACTAGAGTGGCTTTTTTTTTTTTTTAATCGGGGAATATTTTTTTTCCCATAGTGACAAATCCAGAATTAACCAATGTTGGACTAATTCAGTAGATCAATGGTGGAAAAGACCCTGAGATTTCCTTGACCATTTACTCATAACTACAAAAAGCTGCTGCAGCTTCAACAGTCATACGCCTCTTCCACCATGAAAAAGGAAGATGGTACAGTGAGAAGGGGCAGTGCCAATATCTAAAGTAAACCCTGTATGAGGAAGTTCCCAGAACATGTCTGTTTTTCATTGACCAGAATTTTGTCCCAGAGTCACTGCTGGCCTACAGGTGAGAAAAAGAGAGGAAGGGGACAGAGAGAACAAGAAAAGCATCTTCTGACACCCAGAAATCAACCTAACACTCACAGCTGAGCCTTAACATTGTGAAGAGCTATTGCAGCACTCATACTAGGCCTTGGTATTCTCCGGTTGACCACAAACCAGCTTCTAAATCACCAGCTATCAAGATGAAGTGAGAAAAACAAGATGAGTCCATAATCTTCTAAGGACAGAAACAAGGTCATTGTTCAAACCACAGAAATTCTGAATATCTCCATACCCTAATCTGAAGCCCTGTCACTCCCTTCCCAACTATAGCTTTAGCCTCACTTTATTTTGTCCATCTTATAAGATTTTTAAAATATCTAATTATTGGCTTATCCTCAATTCCCCAAAGCATGTAATCCATAACAAAGCCACTTTTTAAAACCCTCCCCCAAATTTCCCTAATGTGTGTCCCCAACCCATGAGAATCCTTTCAAATACCTTTTACTGAAATGCCTCACATTTCTCATGGTTTGTGGGTTCCTTCCTTTCATATGTGGACTCCTTCCTTCACTTTTTTCAATCACAGGTATGTTTCTGGTGGTCTTTGGCTGGAAGGCATTTAAGATTCAGTCAACCAAAAAAGTATTTGCCACAACTTTGTTCCATTCTGGTCTAATTAAGATGGTGCACCCTAACGGGTCAGTCTTCAAAATCCTTAACTGGAAAAGGAGTCAGGATATACTGAACAGAGCATATTAAGAAGAACCAGGGGACAAAAGCTCTAATCTGCTCTGTCCAATTTACCAGTTAAGTGACCTCACGTAAGACACTAAAGGACAGGAAAGGAACTGACCTTATGATAGTCTAAGTGAACCAGCTAACATTAGCTGTGCTTGAGATGGCAAATCAGCTCCAAGAGTTTGAGTGTATTTTCCTTCTCTTTACATTTGAAAAGTTGCAGGATCAGGGTTTGAATCCAAGCACCTAACTCTAAAAAATAAAAGAGTTAGTCATTCAATCATGTCCAGCTCTTTTCGACCCTATGGACTGTATCCCACCAGGCTCCTCTGTCCATATAATTCTCCAAGCAAGGATACTGGAGTGGGTAGTCAGGGGATCTTCCTGACCCAGGGATTGAACCTGGGTCTCCTGCATTGCAGGCAGATTCTTCACCATCTGTGCCACCAGGGAAGCCCCTAACTCTAGCTCTTAACCCCCAACTCTGAAGCCTAACTGTTTTCCATTATACCAAGTTTTCATTTCTTACTCTGCGAACTAACTAGGTTGTGAACTTTAGAACTTTAAAGGCCCTTTCTGCTCACCATTTCAGGGCTCTGGATGATGAATCACATTATTTATATTTATGCTTTTTAAGCCTGCCTGGTCTATAGATGAAAGGTACAGGAACAATGTGAGGTGATGTATGTTTATGGAGTTTGAATTTGACCAAGACTTTTCTTTAATAGCTTAAATCATGAATTTGAGCTACCATTTGAACTTCCAAGTAAAATTAATTTTCAGTTCCTTGTAATTTAAAATATGATTTGCATTTCTTTAATAATTAGTGATGCTGAGCATCTTTTCATACACTGGCCCTCTGTGTCTTCTTTGGAGAAATGTCTTTTAAGGTCTGCCCATTTTGTGATCAAGTATTTTTGTTGTTAAATTGTATGAGCTGTTTGTATATTTTGGACATTAAGTTCTTGTCTGTAGCATAATTTGCAAATATTTCCTCCCAATCCATAGGCTGTCTTTTGTTTGTTTCATTTGCTGTGCAAAAGCTTAGAAGTTTGATTAGGTCCCATTTGTTTACTTTTGCTACTACCTTGGTAGACTGACCTAAGAAAGCATTGGTATGATTTATGTCAGAGAATGATTTGCCCATACTCTCTTCGAGGAGATTTATGGTGTCATATCTTATGTTTAAGTCTTTAGTCATTTTGAGCTTATTTTTGTGTACGGTGTGAGGGTGCATTGCTGAAAACAACTTGCTAAAGAGACCATCTTTTATCCATTTTATATTCTTGACTCCTTTGTTGAAGATTAACTGTCTATATATGTGTGGGTTTATTTCTGGGCTCTCTATTTCACTTCACTAATTCATATGTCTATTTTTGTACTGATACCACATTGTTTTGATTACTCTACTTTGTAGTATTGTCAGAAGTCTGGAAGAGTTATGCCTTATGCTTTGTTTTTTTCCCCTCAGAATTGCGTTGGCAATTCTGGATCTTTTATGGTCCCACATAAAATTTTGGTATGTTCATTCACCCGGAGCCAGACATCCTGGAATGCAAAGTCATGTGGGCCTTAGGAAGCATTACTACAAACAAAAACTAGTGAAGGTTATGTAATTCCAGCTGAGCTATTTCAAATCCTAAAAAATGATGCTATTAAGGTGCTGCAGTCAACAAGCCAGCAAATCTAGAAAACTCAGCAGTGGCCACAGGACTGGAAAAGGTTAGTTTTCATCCCAATCCCAAAGAAGGGCAATGCCAAAGAATGTTCCAACTACTCCACAATTGTGTTCATTTCATATGCTAGCAATGTAACACTCAAAATCCTTCAAGCTAGACTCCAATAGTATGTGAATCAAGAACTTTCAGATGTACAAGCTGGATTTAGAAAAGGCACAGGAACCAGAGATCAAAATGCCAACATTCACTGGATCATAGAAGAAGCAAGAGAATTCCGGAAAAAACATCTACTTCTGCTTCATTGACTATGTGAAAGTTTTTCACTGTGTGGATCACAACAAACTGTAGAAAATTCTTCAAGAGATGGGAATACCAGACTACCTTATCTGTCTCCTGACAAACCTATATGCAGGTCAAGAAGCAACAGTTAGACATGGATAACAAAAAACAAACTGGTTCAAAATTGGGAAAGGAGTATGTGAAGGCTGTATATTGTCACCCTGTTTAACTTATATGCAGAGTACATCATGGGGAATGCCAGGTTGGATGAAGCACAAGCTGGAATCAAGATTGCTGGGAGAAATACCAACAACACCAGATATGCATATGATACTAATCTAAAGGCAGAAAGAAAAGAGGAACTAAAGAGCCTCCTGATGAAAGTGAAAGAGGAGAGTGATAAAGCTGGCTTAAAACTCAACATTCAGAAAATGAAGATCATGGAATCTGGTCCCATCATTTCATGGCAAACAGATGGGGAAAAAGTGGGAACAGTGACAGACATTATTTTCTTGGGCTCCAAAATCATTGCAGACAGTGACTGGCAACCACAAAATTAAAAGACACTTGCTCCTTGGAAAAAAAGCTGTGACAAACCTACAAAGGTTTTAAAAAGCAGAGATATCACTTTGCCAACAAATGTCCGTCTAGTCAAAGCCATGGCTTTTCCAGTAGCCGTGTATGGATGAGAGTGTTGGATCATAAAGGTTGAGTGTCAAAGAATTGATGCTTTCAAATTGTGGTTTTAGAGAAGACTCTTGAGAATCCCTTGGACAGCAAGGAGATCAAACCAGTCAATCCTAAAAGAAATCAACCCTGAATATTCATTGGAAGGACTGATGCTGAAACTCTAATACTTTGGCCCACCTGATGCAAAGATCCTACTCATTCCCTGATGCTGGGAAAGATTGAGGGCAGGAGGAGAAGGGGGCAACAGAGGATGAGATGGTTGGATGGTAACACCAACTCAATGAACATGAGTTTGAGCAAACTCTGTGAGATAATGAAGGACAGGGAAGCCTGGAGTACTGCAGTCCATGGGGTCACAGAGAGTCAGTCACAACTTAGTGACTGAACACCAACATAAATTTTTGCATTATTTGTTCTAGTTCTGTGAAAAATGTCATAGGTAATTTGATAGGGATCGCATTCCATCTGTAGATTGCTTTGGGTAGTATGGCTGTTTCAATCATAGTAATAGTTGCAGTTCAAGAGTATGGGATATTTTTGTGTGTCTTTGAATCCTCTTTATTTTATTAATGTTTTATATTTCTCAGCATATTGCTTTCACCTTCTTGGTCAGGTTATTCCTTGGTATATTTTTGGTGCAATTTAAAATTTTTTTTTTTTTACATTCCCTTTCAGTTATTTCATTGTTAGTGTAAAGAAATGCAACCTATTTCTGAATGTTAATCTTGTATCCTGTTATTTTGCTGAATCTATTTACTAGCTAGAGTAATTTTTGGTGGGGCCTTTATGGCTTAATATATATAGTACCATGTTATCTGCATATAGTGACATTTTACCTCTTCCCTTCCAATTTGGATACCTTTTATTTCTTTCTCTTGTCTTCTGTGGCTAGGATTTCCAGTATTATATTGAATAGAAGTGATGAGAATGGGTATCCACTTGACGTCAGAATGGCCATCATGAAGAAGTCTACAAATAACAAATACTGGAGAGGATGTGTAGTAAATGGAACCCTCCTACACTGTTGATGGGAATGCAAGTTGGTGCAGCCACTATGGAGATCAGTATGGAGGTTCCCTATAAAACTAAATATGTAGCTACCATATGAAACAGCCATCCCACTCGTGGACATATACCCAGACAAAACTATAATTCAAAAAGATACACGCATCCCTATGTCCAAAGCAGCACCACTCACAGTAGCGAAGACACGGAAGCAAGCTAACTGTCCACTGACAGATGAATGGACAAAAAAGATGTGGTACAAATACACAATGGAATACTACTCAGCCATAAAATAGAACAAAAGAATGCCATTTGCAGCAATATGGATGCAACTTGAGGTTATCAATACCAAGTGAAGTAAATCCAAAGAAGACCTATAACATATGATATCACTTGTATGTGAAGTCTACAATAAGTCACAAGTGAATCTATCTTCAAAACAGAAACAGACTCACAGATATAAAGAACAGACTTATGGTTGCCAAGGTAGGGAGATGGAGGAGGAAGGATAGACCAGGGGCTACCCAATGGGGTTAAACAACAAGGTCCTACTCTATAGCGTAGCAAACTGTATCCAATCTCCTGGGATAAACCATAGTGAAAAAGAATATAAAGAAAGAATGTTTGTATAAAACTAAATCACTTTGTTATACAGCACAAAGTTGTAAATCAACCATAAATAAATTAAAAAATAAATCAATTAAATTAAATATGACTACTTAAGGAATTGAGTGAGATCCTATGCAAAGGGGCTGAGAAAAGTAAAGACTTGACAATAAATGTAGGAAAGCAAGTCAGCATATTTCTTTTTTATATTCAGCATTCAACATGAACAATTTAACATTCATTTGCACATTCAAGTAGGAACATTTACAAGCTAGTAATAGACAAATATGAGAAAATATAATCATAGATAAATAAGGACAAATGTAAAACTATATGCATTTTAGTCTTATCAATTTAGAAAAAAATTTTAAGAGAAGTAATCAGCAGTGTTGAAGACTTAGGGCATATTGAAGACAATATGCACTTAAGGACCAGAGGAAGCAATGTTATTTTGTAACTTTCTTCTGAAGGGCAATATGCAATATATATCAAACATTTCTAATATTTTTGCCTATTGCCTTTGAACCATAATTTCCTTCTATACAAAATTACAGATGTGTGCAAAGAGCCACAAAAATGTAGAAATACTATTTATAACTGATGAAATTTTGTAAAAAGTTAAAAGATTAATGATAGAAGATTGGTTAAATAAATTGCAGCTTATTCATACAAATGAAATCTATGGTTGTTGAAAAGGAAATGAAGAAACATTAAGTACTATGGGCAAATGTTTAAAATACTTCGCTACATTGAAAACATAAATTTTTCAATGTGTGACTGTGTTTTTGCTTTAAACATGTATATAAAGATGTTGCTATGGATTGAGTGTGTATTGGCCACAAAAATCCATTTGTTGAAATCTAACCCCCCAATGTGATGGTATTTGAGAGGAAATTAAATCATGAGGGTAGAGTATTCACATGGGATTAAGACCCTTATAAGAGCCCAGAGATCTAGTTCCCTCTCTTTCCATGTAAAGATA